CCTACTTAAATAAATATTTCTCCACAGAATATTTTATTAGAGGACAATAAAATTTTAGCAATCTATGGAATAAATTACACACTATGTATACGCTATCTATGACATACAAATTACACACACATCTCATATTATTACATTCAAATAACTTGATATTAAATGCTTCCTTAGTGTTTTCTGCATTTATGTATGTATGTGTAGTGTATACCTTTTTTGAGACAGCATCTTGCTCTGTCAGTCAGCCTGGAGTGCAGTGGTGTGAACATGGCTCACTGCAGCCTCAAACTTCTAAGCTCAAGTAGTTTTCCCACCTCAGCCTCCGAAGTAGCTGGATGACAGGTGCATGCCACCACGCCTAGCTAATTTTTTGATGTTTTTTTGGGATAAGATAAGAAAGTGAGTTATGTAGAGATAGAAGTCTCGCCATATTAAACAAGCTGTTCTCGAACTCTTGGGCTTTAAACCTCCCATTTTGGCCTCGAAAAGTGCTGGGATTGCCGATGTGAACCACTACCCCTGGCCTGTTTTTTGCTTTTAATACTTGGTTCTTCTTCCAGATTGTCTTTTCAGCCTCACCTTTGCTCTGTCTTATCTTGGTCATATAGTCTTATTTCTATTTGCCAATCTAAGCTATTTAGGTCATTACCTAGGGTCTTTGAGGCAATATTTCCTTTCCTGAGTGTTTGCTCCACATCACCACAACCACTGTTTTTTAAAAACTCCCCCTTTAGTGGAATCCATAATCTCAATATGGAATATTTCTGAACTTGCTTCTCTCCCTTTAGACGTATCTTGACTCCACTGACTTGCTTTTTTTCTATCTATGTATACATACACATATATGTGTCCCTTTCCTTTCCATACCAAACCTTCTAACTAGCAATTCCACTGCCTCTCAAAATGATTATATACACACATGCTCTGGTCCTGTCCAAGCTGGTTTTAGGGCAAAGTTTTATATATTCCAGCTGATGATAAAGATCTCTCTTCATAGATAATAATAATTATATGGAACTTTTCAATTTGCATACTCATTTCACAGTCTAGTAGTTCTTTTCACTCTTTTTTACTCATGGACATTAAAACATATTTTTGAATCTAGTATACTCCTTAAAAAGACTCCAACTGTAATATCAAATGAATCTAAACTAAGTATTCTCTTCAATACCTTGCCTTTTTTTAAATTATAAATATTCCTACATTACTATTTTATAAAGTGATTCTAAATGATTCCTAAATATTAATTATGGTCCTGATATAGTCTTAGTCAACTTAATTTTATATTTAATCATATAGTTTAATAAGAAAGTATTGAAATTAAAAAATGGCAAAGACAACAGTAAATGAAGTTTTATTTATTTTCTTTCCTTTTTTGAGTTTATCTTATTTATTTGCTTTGATGAGCCAAACATCTCTTTCATATGTTTGTAATTTTTTTTCAGTTTTAGCAGGTTTTTGAAACCTAATCATCTTTTAAATGTTTACTTTCTTCAGTTTCCCATACTGACACCTCTTCTCATGTTATATTCTCATGGATGATCCATCCACTCCTGTGACAGTGACTATTATCCACATACTAATGAATCTCATGCTGGCAACAGAGATGTAAACAAAATAAAAACTATCATGAAAGTTACATTCTATATAGTGACAGCATATATCAGTTGGTAATAAGTACTACAGAAAATAAAACAGTTAAGGTCCTAACGAGGAGTCAGGGTACTATTTTTTTAATTGCATTTTAGGTTTTGGGGTACATGTGAAGAACATGCAAGATTGTTGCATAGGTACACACATGGCAGTGTGGTTTGCTGCCTTCCATCCCCTCACCTGTATCTGTCATTTCTCCCCATGCTATCTCTTCCCACCTCCCCACCCCCCGTCCCTCCCCCATTTCCCCCCAGCGGACCCCAGTGTGTAGTGCTTCCCTCCCTGTGTCCATGTGTTCTCATTGTTCAACACCCGCCTATGAGTGAGAACATGCAGTATTTGATTTTCTGCTCTTGTGTCAGTTTGCTGAGAATGATGGTTTCCAGGTTCATCCATGTCCCTACAAAGGACACGAACTCATCGTTTTTGATGGCTGTGTAATATCAGGGTACTATTTTAAGTAAGTTGTCACTGAAGGCCTCACTAATAAGGTAGAATTTAGGCTAAAACCTGAATGAAATAAGAAAATGAGTTATATAGATTTCTGAGGGTATACATTCAATACAGAAAGGAAAGATAACACAAAGGCCCTGAGGTAGGCACATGCCTTGCAAGTTTGAGAAAAATTATGACGAGATTGATGGATGCAAGATGAGTAAAGACAGTGAATTAGTTAAGGCAATAAAATGGGGCAGTCATCTAGAGCCTAGCAAGACATTGTAAGGACTTGGTCCCTTATCTAAGTGCAATGGAGGAGCCATCTCAAAATTTTCAGTGGGAGCTAAGATTATACCACTGCACTTAAGTCTGGGTGACAGCGCTAAATCCTAGCTCATAAAAATAAAAAGAAACACAACATATAATTTCCAAAATTCACACAAAGTCATACACTATGATCTTGATTTACAAAGGCATACCTATGGCTATATATGCACATAGTTTTTTATAATGAGTAAACAGCTAGATGGAGATTCTGAAATATTTTGAATTTGTCTTATTCAAGTAAACTTCTAGAAAGTGATTCATCAATTCTAGTTTACTCATTTTTCCCACTAAGCTGAGAAAAATTTAATAATTTCACCATTATATATTTTGAAGTACTTAGAATAAAAATATGTAGTTATTGAATGTAAATATTTTATAAGTAAACATTTAAATTATTGTCCCAGTAATATATACTGGTAATCCTAATGAGTTACTTAAAAATTTATTTATTTGTCTACTTATTCACTCACATGAAAAAGCTGAATCAATGAAATGTATATTGAGTGTCTATGATGTGCCAGACATTGTGGTTCCCTGTTGTCACAGACTTCATTGTCTGCGAAGGCTCATAGATACTAATACAATTGCCATACAATTTAATATAAAGTCATATTATTAAAAGCACTGCAAGTAAAGGTACATGGTGCTGTAATACTGTATAATAGGAAAATTTAACCTAAAGCCAGAGGTTTCTGGAAAGGCCTTTATTTGATTTTCTCTTCATAAAGAAGATAATTTTTATATTCTAAGTTACATTGATGGTATTTCTGTTCATTCGGCCACCTAAACTTTTATTTTATAATCATTATTGATGTTTTCTTCTCCCAAGACTTTTCTTATCTCCAATCAGTTACTACATTTTATCCTTCTTTTGACCAATGTCTTGCACATTGTGACGTTTCTTTAGATTTCCATTGTTGCTACTCACAATTATGAGCTATTGTCTTACAGTTGGACAATTTTAATATTTCTGCTTATACTATTTTTACTCTCCAAAACTTTCTGATCATCAAGGCCAGAGTAGTCTTTCTCAAATTACTTCAGTATCTATATATTCTATATGTAGAATATATAGAAAAGGTTCCATATATTCAGTGTCTACCCACCTTTGCAATCTACCCCCTAACTCACTGGATTCAAAACATTGGTCCTCAGATCACCTGGGAGAGCATTTTCAACAAAAAGTTTTCTGGGATCCCCATTCCAGACATCCTGAATCAAAAACTCTGGAAATGGGACCCAGAATTTTAATATTAATAAAAACACCCCAGAAGATTTTGATGTGTAATAAAAACTATTGTCTCAATACACCTTTCCAGATCTATCTCACTCCTTTATCCTACATCTAAACAGGACTAGAGATGTTTTAGCTGTTCCTGAAATATTATTTGCCTTTCCTGTTTCTTTGTACATATTATACTATTATTTCTACTTAGAATATCATCTCCTGATATGTCTTCCAATTACAGTCGTAATTTTAAAGGTTTTATTTCAGATCTACTTCTTCCATTGTGCTCTTGGACCTCTCCCAAGCTAGAATTGATTTCTCACTCTTTGAGAACTCCTGAAACTTTTCTTTTAAAGCACTTATACCTTGTGTTAGAATGAGATGCATCACCTCCATTAGACCCTAGTCACATAATGACTTTTCCTTAGAGCATCTGTATGCACTATAATTCTTAGCTCAGTTTCTTGAGCATAGATATAGAATATACTTGCTGAAAAGATGAAACTACTTTTACTAATCTGCAAATAATAAAATTGCCTGTGAATGCAGTGCTATTAAGATAATAAGATAACTCCTTTGGAACTACAAAGTTATTATAGTATACAGTGGAAACCTATGGTTTCTATAAATATATAGATATATAGAAATACAAATATATAAACTCATGGCTCCTATATATTCTGTTATTAATAGAGAATCTATACTGTTTTCCAGTTTGCTCAATTTTGCTTCACACTCTGACTTTCATGCCGTCCATTTTACAATAGTAAAAATAATATGCCTTTACAGAAGCAGTTCTTATGATACTATGCTGTGAATCACTGAGACAACATCACTAAAACCTAAAGCTTTTTGGCACTTCTTCAAGTAGATCTTCTGAAGATCACTTCCAAAATTTGATTATTTTTAACTTGTTTTCATCTAGTGAACTAATTCACATCATGTACTAAAATCCCCCAAAAAAGAGACAGAAAAAGCTCTGCTATAAAATTAGTAGAATGATTATTAAAACTTTAAAAAGGTTTTGATTTATACAAAAACAAATGTTTCATTGATTAGATAAAATCAATTTTCTGTTAATAAATGTGGCTTAATGAGTTATCAAAAAATAAGGCTTTTAAAGTAGACTATGTCCTAGATTTATGTACTAGAAGTAATAAGATATTATATGCGTGACAGGATAAATGTGAACCAACAGGTAAATTTGATCATAATTCTAGGGCCTCAGGAAGTTTTACAAGCTTATGAGCGATTGTTCTTTTGAAACAATAAAAATTTAAATAAAAATGAAATATAGTTTCCATAGCATTGAAACTATGCTTTCTCTGTGTGTGTGTTTTTCATCACATTACTGACTCACTTTTGTCATGAAAGATATATATTTCTGAGGAATTGTGAAATAGGTTTTATATCCCTTCTGGATCCCTCCTTCTGTCTCCTCTCCTTGGTACCTTCGTTTTTCTCCTGTAAACTTGATGCCTTTGTTTTTCTGCTGTTCAAGATATTCCGCTATGGCAATCCTCTTCTTTCTTGCCCAGACTTGAACCACTTTCATATGTCAAAAGTATTCCATTTTTTAAGGAGTCATTTAAATAAGTGCTTCTCAAACTTTAATGTGCATATGACTCACTTGGCATCTTGCTAAAATGCATATTTTCATTGAGTAGTGCTGGGTTGGGGCCTGCAATTTGACATTTATAACAAGCTCCATGGTGATGTCCATGCCTGCTAATTTTGGAGCAGTTTGAGTAGTAAGGTTTTAGAGGACAAACATTTCAATCAACTAAATATTTGTTATCTGATAATAGCTGAAGTTTTATCATCAAGAATTCATATATAAATATAAAATAGAAATTTATTTTATTTTGTTGGGGAAAATATTTTTTAAATGTACTTTAGGTTCTGGGGTACATGTGCAGATCATGTAGGATTGTTGCATAGGTACATATATGGCAATGTGATTTGCTGCCTCCATCCCCCTGTCACCTATATCTGGCATTTGTCCCCATGTTATCACTCCCCAACCTCCCCACCCCCTGTTATCCCTCCCCTACTCCCCCCAACAGATCCCAGTGTGTGATGCTTCTTCCCTGAGTCCACGTGTTCTCATTGTTCAACACCCGGTTGAGAACACATGGTGTTTGATATTCTGTTCTTGTGTCAGTTTGCTGAGAATGATGGTTTCCAGGTTCATCTATGTCCCTACAAAGGACACGAACTCATCTTTTTTTATGGCTGCATGGTATTCCATGGTGTATATGTGCAACATTTTCCTTGTCCAGTCTATCATTGATAGGCATTTGGGTTGGTTCCAGGTCTTTGCTATTGTAAACAGTGCCACAATGAACATATGTGTGCAGTGTCTTTATACTAGAACGATTTATAATCCTTTGGATATATACCCAGTAATGGGATTGTTGGGTCACATGGAATTTCTATTTCTAGGTCCTTGAGGAATCACCACACTGTCTTCCACAGTGGTTGAACTAATTTACACTCCCACCAACAGTGTAAAAGTGTTCCTATTTCTCCACATCCTCTCCAGTATCTGTTGTCTCCAGATGTTTTAATGATTGCCATTCTAACTGGTGTGAGATGGTATCTCAATGTGGTTTTGATTTGCATTTCCCTAATGACCAGTGATGAGCATTTTTTCATGTTTGTTGGTAGCATAAATGTCTTCCTTTGAAAAGTATCTGTTCATATCTTTCACCCACTTTGAATGGGTTTGTTTGTTTTTTTCTTGTAGATCTGCTTTAGTTTTCTGTAGATTCTGGATATTAGTCTTTTGTCAGATGGGTAGATTGCAAAATTTTTTTCTCCACATCCTCTCCAGTATCTGTTGTCTCCAGATGTTTTAATGATTGCCATTCTAACTGGTGTGAGATGGTATCTCAATGTGGTTTTGATTTGCATTTCCCTAATGACCAGTGATGAGCATTTTTTCATGTTTGTTGGTAGCATAAATGTCTTCCTTTGAAAAGTATCTGTTCATATCTTTCACCCACTATGAATGGGTTTGTTTGTTTTTTTCTTGTAGATCTGCTTTAGTTTTCTGTAGATTCTGGATATTAGTCTTTTGTCAGATGGGTAGATTGCAAAATTTTTTTCCCATTCTGTTGCCGGTTCACTCTAATGATTGTTTCTTTTGCTGTGCAGAAACCCTTAAGTTTAATTAGTTCCCACTTGTCTATTTTGCCTTTTGTTGCCATTGCTTTTGGTGTTGTAGTCATGAAGTCTTTGCCTATGCCTATGTCCTGAATGATTTTGCCTAGGTTTTCTTCCAGGGTTTTTATGGTGTTAGGTCTTATGTTTAAATCTTTAATCCATCTGGAGTTAATTTTAGTGTAAAATGTACAAAAGTGTTCTAGTTTCAGCTTTCTCCACATGACTAGCCAGTTTTCCCAACACCGTTTATTAAACAGGGAATCCTTTTCCCATTGCTTGTTTTTATCAGGTTTTTCAATGATCAGATGGTTGTAGATGTGTGGTGTTACTTCTGAGGCCTCTGTTCTGTTCCATTGGTCTATGTCTCTGTTTTGGTACCAGTACCATGTAGTTTTAATTGCTGTAGCCTTGTAATATATTTTGAAGTCAGGTAACGTGATGCCTTCAGCTTTGTTCTTTTTGCTTAGGATTTTCTTGGCTATGTGGGCTCTCTTTTGGTTCCACATAAAATTTAAAGTGTTTTTTTCCAGTTCTATGAAGAAGGTCAATGGTAACTTGATGAGGATAGCATTGATTTCTAATTCAAAAACTTCCTGGCTGTCTCATGTTTAAAAGCTTCCAGATGAATGTTAAAATTATTTTCCCAACCTTCAAGAATCCTATTGGGATTTCAATCTGAATTACAGTAAACCTACATTTGAGTTTTGAAAAACTTGGCATGTTCACAGTATTTAGTCTTCCTATCCCTGAACATGTTATTCTTCTACATTTATGTAAATCTTGTACCTCTCCCGGCAAAGTTTCGTAATTTTGTTCAGATAATTTTTATTATTTCTGAGTATTTTGTGTATTATATTGCCTTGTATGTGAATCTTATTTTGGCCTACACTATTTTCTAACTACTTATGATCAGTTTTTAGGAAATCTCTTTAGTCTGTTCATACATTTTGCATATAGACACTTCACTGAACTTTTTCATTAGTTCTAATGTTTTATATAGAATTTTTTAGATTTTCTATGTGCCTATTTCTCATTACATGTATTGGAATTTTTACACCAGTATTAAACAATTATACTGATGTAGCATGCTTGTCTTTTTACTGATTTTATTATAATGTCTCCAGTATTTCACTGTTATGAATGATATTTGTTATTGTTTTTAGTTGAACATAATAATATTAAGGAACTATTCTTTCATGCTCAGTCTTTTGAAAAATTAATGCTTTTTTAAAAAAAAAACTGAGAAATAGATGCTGAAATTCAGAAAATGCCTCTATGGACATCTATTGGGATAATTGTATAACTTAGTTTTCTTTTGACCTATGGATGTGATATACTAAGAGACTTTCTATTGCAGTCATTTTGATATTCTTGAAATAAGATAGGTTGGTGATATTATCTTCATTTTATTTTTCCATATTTTATTTGCCTACTAATTTATTTAGGACTTTTTGAATTTTAAACGAATCAGTCCTTAAATTACCTGTGCTATGTTTGGCAAGATTTTATATCAGGGTTGTCTTACTTCAAGAAACCATTCCATTATGTGATTTATTTAAATTGAATAATTATGTATCCTTGAAAATCTTTTAAAAAAACATAAATAATATTAGTCAGGGAATTTGTACATAGTGTTCCAATAGAATATAAGCTGCAAAAAGGATTTTTGTCTATTTTCTCTACTATTTTATCCCTACTGTCTAGAACAGTGTCTGGTACCGGGTAAATATTCAGTAAATATTTATTGAATGAATGTGAAGTAATGAATAGACTTCTCAGGCATTTCTTGGATTTGTTTGGAAAGTTTCTTCTTATTCCAGTTTATCTCATATTTTGCTTTACAAAGGCATTTTAAGGCATCAAATAGACACACACACACGTGTGCACTCTCTCTTTCTCTCACACACACATGCACACACACACACACACACACACACACACACACCCCTACCTCAAAAAAATTATTTTTTACAAATAGGATTACATCAAACTAAAAAGCTTCTGTACAGCAATGGAAGCAATCAACAAAGCAAAGAGACAGTCCACAGAATGGAAGGAAATGTCCCCACAAGGAATTAATAACCAGAATATATAAGGAGATAAAGCTCCCTAGCAAAATAATAATTCTATTAAAAATGGGCAAAAGATCTTAGTAAATGTTTCTCAAAATAAGACATACAAATATACGACAGGTATGTGGAAATATGTTCAGCATCACCAATCACTGGAGAAAATGCAATTTAAAACCACAGCATAATATGATCTCATTCCAGTTAGAATGGCTTTTATCAAAACAACAAGCAATAACTAAAGACATACATTGGAATTTTTGTAACACAAAGGATAAATGCTGAGGTGATGAATATCTCATTTACCCCGATGTGATTATTATGCATTGTATGCCTTTATCAAAGTATTTTACATAACCCATATATATTTATACCTGTTATGCACCCACATTTTTTTAAGACAGGCAATAATGGATACTGAAGAGGAGGTAGAGAAGGGGAAACCTTTGTACACTGTTGGTAGGAATGTTAAGTAGTTCAGCTACTATAGAGAACAGTATTGATATTCCTCAAAAAAAAAAAAACTAAAAATAGAACTATCGTATGATCCAGCAATCTCACTACTGTGTATAATATATCCAAAATAAAGGAGTGTGTCAAATAGATATCTGCACTCCCACATTTATTGCAGGTCTATTCAAAATAGCCAAGATAGGGAATCAACCTAAGTGTTCACTGAAGGATGAATGGATTAAAAAATGTGGTACATATACACAATAGAATTCAGCCTTAAAAAGAAAGGAAAGTCTATTATTTACAGTGGCGTGGATGAAATAAGAGGAAATTATGTTAATTAAAATAAGCCAGGCAGAGCAAAACAAATACTGTGTGTCTTCACTCATGTGTGGAAGCTAAAAACTTATTGAACTAATAGAGAGTAGAAGGATGGTTACCAGAAGCTGGGAAAGGTAGTGCTTAAAGGGAAATAAAGAGGGGCTGGTTAATGAGTACAAAAATTCAGTTTGATTGAAAAAGTGAGATAGAGTGTTTGGTTGAACAGAAGGGCGACTGTAGATAACAATAACATTCTACATATTTCAAAATAACTAGGAGAGTGAAATCAGGATGTTCCTAACACAAAGAAATGATAAATACTTGAGGTGATAGCTTTTCTACTTTCCCTGATTTGATCATTATACATTGTATGCTTATATCAATGTATAATGTATATCACAATGTAATCACATGTAAAACTATTATGTATTTATAAAAATAAAATAAAGTTTTAAACGTAAAAAAATTATTTTTAGAAAAGTAAAGTATAGATGTTACTAGAAAAACCATGTATTTTACTTAAATTTCCAACTGATATTAAGGA